GTGGCGTTCATTTATTTTCAAAGATACGAACAAATAACCATTAACAAAACCCTTAGTAATTTTTTCTCATCTTGCTAATGGTGCTAACTTAAAATTTTCATGACTTGTGGGTTTCGACTAAATCACATAAACTTTTTTATGTCACATTGGATCTTTACGTCACTCGATCGAGATATTAAATTACAATGTGATCCAGTGATGGACATTTCCAGTAGGTAATTCCGTATTAGGTTTAGTAGGTGGTGGTTGAACCTTGGACATATCAAAATTCAAAATAGACTCAATAGAGTTGAATAGACCGCTAACCATAGATTTTCCTTTGATAAAGCAATGAAGCGATGTATGGAGAAGATAAAATTTCTCAAAGCAGCTAACAAGTCGCGTAACCATGCATGTTTCCAAAATTTTGGGAAAAACGGAAACTATTAAATATAATAGGTCGATAGTTTCTTAGATACCCATATCCACAGACCACAAATGCTCCCAATTATCACGAAACACGATACGAAAGAGACATCGCGTTTTAATTATTGTTTATTGTGCAACCATGCAACTTAAAAGATTTAGCGTAGATTGCCGGATGAGGTCAAATTAAATTCTCTGGTAATCAAATCAAAATATAGGAATCTACAGTAGGTTATTAAGCAAAACAAAAGGTCAATATACCCCGATTAAAGGCTATTTTGCCGAATATTGCAAATATCTGGGTTTTATGTCTTCAATTAATAAATATTTATGGCCCCCCATTATGTAGATAGGTATTTAAACATGTCTTCATTCAATAATATAACCCTTTTTTTAATTCTTGGCGCGCACATATTATAAATAATAATATCCAGTCACAATGTAGACGCAAGTTATGAAAATAAAAACCATTTTGCTGGCTGCGCAATTTATAGGTATGCAATGCGTGGGACGTACGACATGTATACAGTTACATAATTATATCATAAAAAGCTTGGTACTCGCGAGCTTTTAATTGCGTAGGTTTGAATCCTAGACGGAAAATAAGTACACTATTCTGGAATTAAGAGGGAGACACTTGATGCATTCAATGGCCATCTATATTCAAGGATAGTTCCTAGCCGACAAAAATTTACACAGCGCGGTATCTCTAAACGTTGTTTACTCTATGGCTGTAAGTTTGTTTGCTCATACCTAATGGTCAATTTTATTAAGTTTCAAGAATAACCTTCGGTGTAAACAAGCTGAAAAGTTTCAATTTTTGAAAAATATGTTGTCAGTACTGCAACACTTTTCTGAACTTGCACAAAAGTTGCAACACAATTGCATAAATGTAAAACCGTAATAAGCAATGCAAGCCAATTTTAGATTGCATAGCACAAGCCTTGCATTGCACTAAAATTGCCTAATGTAAAGCGGCTTACTGAAAATGAAGAGGAGCACAATCGTGCAAGTACTTCCACTTGTATTTAAATTCTTTCATAATCCAAACAAAAAATACGTAATTCGAATGCTAATGTGTACTACGTAAACTTAACCATACTTTGATTTAAATTCGCGCGTTCTTTCGTAAAACGTGATCCTACGACTCACGATCTTGAAATCATGATCGCGAAGTAACCGAAAGAAAGCGCCTTTTGTTTGAACTTTTTGATGGTAAGGGCCTTTGAGATTTCATAGTCTGTAAGGGCTACTGGAGGCGTGCGCTGTTGCCACATCACAAATTCGCTGCTAGTTTCACCATCGCAACCCGTTTCGCTCATTCGCTGTTGTCCGCTGACCGCGACCATTTTCAAATCTGTGGATTTCATGAAAACAAAAAAGAAAAACAAATGTTGAGGTTAAAAATTTGTTGCGTTTTGTTAATTTGTATGGCTGAATGAATTTTTGGTTTTAGTAATAAATTATGTATTCAAATTAAAAGTAAATGAAATGTCTTCTCAAAGATATAGGAAAAATATTAGGAAGGTAGGTAAATGGGTATAAGTAGGTAGTTTTGTCATTTATGTGATACTTTTTGTAGGGGATTCCAGCAACTAGCACTCCATATGGACGTTTATCTCCTAATAAAAGCAATAAAAGTATCAGTCCAATTTTAATCCACAAACAACAAGCGAGCGATTTGGAATCTGATAGCAGTAGTTCGAGTAGTGACTCATTATCAGCACCCAGAATAGACAGAAATTTTGAATGTGAAAGTTTACCTAGAAAGAACATTAACATTAATAAATCACAGTCTAATTTAAAAGTGGATACAAAATACATGCCCACGGTAAGTATTTACTTTACAAGATCTCCTATTAACTAAATCATTTTAGGTTGCTCTGTGCTTCGTAATTGTGGTTGGTGTATTTACGATTACCTATGCAGCCATGTCAAGTAATAATAAGGAATGCACTTTTATCTCAATAGAAGAAATTCAAGAAAAATTTCCATCTCAACCGCAAAGTACATTTAATGCGATTGTTAGTGGAGTTAGTGAGATCAAGGCGTTTAATAAGCCCTCAATATTCTTATTCCTATACGACAGTGACACACGACAGACTATAAATGATTTAACATTAGCCATAGCTGATTATGCATCCGGTATTTTAAATGATGATTGCACTTCCAATCCAATTATACTAACCAGTTCCGCTCTAAGTACGAAAACCGATTATGGTACCATCATCTCCACTTACAAACCGGATCTTGAAGAAAGGAAAGTAATGATTGTAAAAAATTTAAATCAAATTCCAGGAACTAATGCGCAAGCTTTTCATAGCATTTGCGATGAGTACTCCCCATTAGTTCCAAAAAGTTTAATAATGTTTACAGTTGAAGTCAAGAAGTCAAATAAAAAGTACAAATCAGACTATGAACATGTGGAAGAGATTCTAAAGGAAAGTTGGTCAGATTTAGATGATGATATATTTTATCCATTATTTACAAGAATTACTAGTATGGTATTGAAAGTTCAACCGACAAATACTGAAAATGTTATTGCTACTTAATCATAATTATGTTAGTAGTTCTTTTTTTATTATCAATAAATGATATTAGATCTTAAATGTTTTCAAATCGGTTGCTATTATTAACCCTGTAATCAAATCATTCCGAGGGGCAAACAACTCCTTAAACAATATCTGTAGGTACTGATTTATGCAGATTGTCAAAATCACAAGGAGTACAGTACCAATCCAAATATTTATATAACAGCCTTCCTTTAGATATAAGGATTTTAGACTACCCCATATTTAAGAGACGCATACAAAATTTTATTCTATGTGGGGCATTTTATTCTTTTAACGAGTTTGTGGCTAGTGGTACCTAGATTATGTACCTAGTTAGGGTTTTTACCTGTCTGTTATGAGTGTTATACACTATTATCATTAATGTTAATGTAATTTGCCATTTCTTTTGACGAGTGTAAGAGAATTCACACCTCACAATTAAATATTATTATTATTAAATATGGTGTGCCCCTGGAATTTTTAATTACTTGATTACTTTTTCAATACTTTAATTACTTGTTGAGTATGTTGTGTGTCTTTTCAGTACCTTAAAATACATTTTCAGTATTTTAATTACATTTTGAATTTTTTAATTACTTTTTCAATTTTTGAATTACAATTTCAAATACTTTCATTCTGGCTTTCATTACTTGAGAATTTTGAATAGGTACATGTTTGATAATGATAAGGTCAGGTTGTTGACTCGACATGTTCGCTCTGCATGCTGAAATACTTAGTGAATAGTGAAAAAAAGCTCAAAAAAAACTAGTAAGGTTCCTCGCGCGAGTTGGCGTGTGATAGCACTGTCAAGGTGTACATAGGTACCACCGTTAAGTCGGACATACAGTGAAATTTACACCTCGACAGTGCTATCAGACAGCACCTCGTGTTAGAAATCTTGTTAAGAGTGTATTCCCGCCTTTAGGTAGCGCTTCGTCTGGTGAAGGTATCCATTGATAATGATTCTATAAACCTACCATAAAAAATAGACTGTGATTAATTATTATTTAGATACTTACACCTAACATCTAAATTACCTACATTGAATTCTGTAAAATGTCAACACAATGCATCTCGCAATGCATATGCATATGGAAATTTGAACAATTTAGTGGTTTGTAATAATAAAGGGGCGCATACAAATAGAGGGTGTACCCAGATTGACATCACTATATGTGTGTAATTGATCAAAAATTTTGGAGTTTCCTTTTGATGTTTTAGGATCTCGGCCTGCTTGGTCTGAAAAGAATTTCAAGCACATTTTTGCTTTTTTTTTAAATCCAAGATGGCCGTAACAAATGAGAAAATAATAATTTTTTGTTGAGGTAAAGTGCAATTTCGGTCAATAATACGGTAAACTGTTGTTAAGAAAAGTTGTTTAGAAAATGAAATTATGCCCATATGCAAAATTTCACAAATATCGGATTCCTTTGATTAAATATAGGTACAGGGTGTTAATATGTACTTAAGATTACACCTGAAAACTGCAGTTCAAACTCATTAAAACAAACAACTTTTCTTAATTCCAATTTTTGATTTGGTGCCTGGGTTCGAAGTTATTGGCGTTCTTTGGTTTTTCGAAAAATCGTCATAACTTATTTTAAGGACTATTAAAAAAAACAAAAATTTTTAAAACTATCTTTCAGCTCTATAAAACATTTGTATTCATAATTATTTTTTATTTTCTCAAATAATAAAATAGCGTTCGATCAAAAATGTTAAAGAAACATTTTTTGATAACCACCCTATCGATTTTTGAAAGCAAAACATTTATAAAATCCCTACATCATACAATTTTAACAAATCTACAAGTTACAAATAATTTGCCTGTAACTATAACTACAAGTCCTACTGAATTACTGCAATTGTTAGAATATATTTTACACCGAGATGTGCGATTTCAAATTCCAAACAAGAAGTTCCGTTAGCGTATATTCAGACACCGTTCAAACTACAGTTGCCACATACCGAGACACCATACAAAAGCATTCGCATGTAATAAGCATAGATATTGGTAAAGACGCGCACCGAATCGACTCGATTCGGATCGACACGGCGCACGGGAGCGAGAGAGAGTTCTTTGTGCCCTCAACATTGTTTTCGGCACACAAGGATTCGGGACCTGCAGTCAATGGCCTACTTGAATGATTTCACTGCCAACTCAAATCAGCGCTCACGTGCCCCCCAGTGCGTTCTGGTTCAAGGTACTCCGTATCGTTCTGCTTGGAAACTGTAGCATTTTCACGGAGAACTTTCGAGCTTCCTCAGCGGAGTTTGTTTACGGTTACACCCTTCAACTTCGAAGGCAAACTTTGTAACGATTTAGAAACTTAAATTGCAATTGAAATAATATACCTATAGGGATTATATCTTGAATATAACTTGAAATTGGATAAGTTCGCATCAGCTATAATATAAAGTGATAGGTACATTACCAATGTTCAAAGAAACACAATTAAATTAAAGACATTTACTGATTTTAAAATAAAATTAACATTGTCGAGTTGGAAATCTTTTAGGTGTTAAGGGACCCCCATATAACTTCGTGCCCCCATCATGCTTGCGTGCATCCAAATCAATGCAGTCATAGCGGTTAAAATGACGAGAACACACCCTTGTTTTTACATCATCTAATTCCGATAGTTCACATGCTTGCAGTCACCGATTCTTGTTGCTTTTTTCACTTGGGAATCTAATAACAAGTATGGCATAAATGCATTGATTGCAGATAATTGCATTGTAACTTACTTGTGCCATGAAACCGAAGAATCCACTTTCCCACAAGTACCTGCATTTCTTTATTTCTAAGTAATGAACACACTAAAATTGCCAAACATTAGGTATTCCTTTACAATTATTGTGTATCACTTACGTATACTGATTTATATAACTACGAAAGTCTTCTTTACTATTAAAATTAAACAAAAGTTCAATAACTCATAAACAAAACAAACAATTTAACCTCAATCCGTTATGTCAAACTGGAGTAAATGCTTGGTAACACCCATATATATAAGAGAAGTATATATGGGTACAGGGCCGTAGGCAGGGACACGCCAGGGCAGGCTGAGCCTGCCCTGAAAAATTGTAAGCCTGCCCTAGCCAGATTTCCGAATTTCTTATTGGAGTTTACGAGTCTGCTAAAAATATATAATAACACAGAAAATTATTACTATTGACGATGTTGTGGTTATCAATTAAACGAACATATCTATGTATAACATGTTTTTTAAAACCTGCAACGCTGCAATGTCTATTGGTATAGAAGTGCGATATATCAACATCTCAAATGGCCGAGGGTGTCTCGTGAAGGTTTATCACAAATATTTGGTGAAGCTTTGATCTTTTAGCGCATTTTCCAACGAAGGCAAACATATCTCATATTGTAAACATTAGATGTGCGCATGCGCATTCTGTGCAGTCCCAACTTCATTATTTATGAAAATATTTCTTCGAAATTTTAATCATAGATGCTTCTAGTAAAGAAAAATATATCACATGTAGTAAAAAATCGAAAACTACAAATGTCATTCACAAAGGCAAACATGCGCAAACTGCAAAATGACATCTTTTTTTCTGATGAAAATCTCTGAAAAATTTTAACCATAGAAGCTTCGATTAAAAACAAACATATCGCATATATTAAATGTATGCATGCGCGAATTGCATATACGAGGACGATTGAGAAAATTTAATCTGGTGATTAAAAACTTTTTTTTAATTTAAAAACACGCAATGCAAAGTACTAAGTACTTTATTTTGTCGTATTTTTTTTCGAGCATGATATTAAATATAAAACGTAGAGGATTGGGATTGCTTACCTTGGTAGAACAAGTGTTTAAAAATAAGTGACATTTGATACCTATTATCGTCTGTGCTGTTTGATGAGCACTAAATTGGTTTCAGGGTACATTTAATGTAGTAGTAGGTCAGTTTGAGTTAGGTTTCATTTTAGATGATTATTGTAATTGTTTTAAAAAAAAATTGCCACATGTGTTCACAAACGTAGTAAATTTTGAATTTTTTGTTAATTTAGGCCAGCCGAGTGGTTATTTGCAAAATAAAAATTTGAAAAAGTGCTTATATGAAAATAAAGCCAGTATTTTTTTTAGTTATTGTGGCCTGTAAGTCATTTTCAGGGACAAATAACAGGGCGACAGTCTCGTTTATTTTTATATTTTTTATTTTATTTATTGTCCCTCTTGTTCTGGGCCCTCAACAGGCTTTCGCTCAAATGTCAAAATGTGGAACATTGCTTACATTTTAGATTTCAGTCTGGGAGCATATTCTCGATATCATTGGAACAAGTTTGTATACGCTTGTAACGCAATTTTGACGTAATCTTGAACCAGTGGCATAGTAATCACACGTATATTCCAAAAATGGTATAAATGTATGCTTCTTTTGTCATCGTTCAGGAATATGCCGCCTGTACTGAATGTTTGTGAGCCTGTCCTGATTATACAGTCTGGCTACGGCCCTGTATGGGTAACACTACATAATAACAGGCAAGCGCATTAGCGCCTAGTTCCCAACTAATGACAGAAGTATATTTCCATCCACTAACGTTGGCGATAGGCGTGTCCACTCGTTTATCCATATACTTCTCTTATACAGGGTGTTACACGACCGTTCGAAAAAAAAAATCGGGTTGTAGAGGGCATCAAAACAAGCACTTTTTCCAAATAAACCGAGGGTCCAACGTATTTCGTTTGGGAGCCACCCCCCAAAGAGTGTTGAAATCTGCATTTCTTCTTTAATTTTTTTCTCAGCAACCATAAGAGTTACAAAGTCGGGTGGCATGTCTTTGAATAGGTTTTTGGGTATGCTCTATCCGATTTTGCAATTTTTTTTTCAAAATTCCTACCCCTAAAGGGCGCACCCCTAAACTAGGGTGCAAAAAAAATTCTGATTTCGACGAAATTTGGTATCTGGGGGTTTTTTAACATGAAAATCACGAATCTGAAATTATTTTTTGAAAATTCGAAAAAAAAAGTTCCACTGCAATTCTTGGCGGGACAACGAAAATAGAGATAATTCCACGAAATTTGTTGTGT